GAGTGCATTAACAGTAAGTATCCATATTAACTCGTCGAGTACCGGTTTTGTAGACACAATTATAGAACAATAGGTTGCGGTCACCGGTGACCGCTTGGTGTTTGACAGTTTAAGATGTAAAGGTTACCGAGATGTTCCAACTAGTTTCAAATGTAATACAAAAGTACCTACCGAGTATGAAGCAGACATACTACTACCAAACCCTTCGAGGAATAATCAGCATCATGTTTAGTTGTAGATCCGCTAATTCTTTAATAATTACCTACAGCTATGTTATGAGTTGCATAATTACTCGACTGCCTGTCTTTAATGAGAACGAACATGCGTAGTATCAATATAGTCATCCAATTACGCTTGCGTGCATGCGTGAGGTTTTACACTGTATCTATTAATTTTCATTAAGTATTTAAAGTGTGATTACGTACTTTGTATGGGGTTAAACAGCATAGCAATAATATACCTCTAAGATCAGTAACATAACTGGATAATCAAGTTGGTAAGCACTGCCCGAAATGCATACCATTTCGGCAAATAGTAATTGCAGTAAAATGAAATCAGTAACATCACGTTGAATTTCTAATAAAGTACTCAAGTATTTTAGATAAACGATATAAAAAGTACAATTTATTAAAAATGACGAGTTATGCGTTAGAAATTGTTGTCAGTGAGGCGTTCACACGCAACGTAACTAACATAATATTAATGACACTGCAATCCTTTGTAACAGTTTTATACAATAATGGATTTTGAAATAACTAGGTATTATTTACTATTTTTACTCGAATGTTGTCAATATCAATAGGTACTACATGTTTTATCTAATATCTACTAGGACTTGTTATTGGCTCACTGTTACCTACGCCTATTGTTATTTTTATCCATTTTTATATGCTGTAAGTCCTCCATGAATTATAAATAAATAAATAAATAAATCTCAGACCCCAATAAAATACTGCTTATGAAACTGACAAAACAGCCAAAAAAGAGTTTTTAGTCTAAATTACTCACAGAAACTGAGAAGATAAATATCGACCTAACAGAATGGACCTTTATCTTCTAATATTGTGAAAAGTGCCTAGCAAAGAAAGCAACATTATCAGTGAATTACAACGGCTAACCTGACAGAAACACTAATTAAAATCCACCAAGAAAGGCTAAATTGAACCACGCAACCGCAAAGCCGCTACCAACATAATTAATAAACATAGGGAAGAAAGAAACTCATTTGACGGCACAAAAATAGATGGACAACAGCTGTGTCAAGAGCACGTGTTTTTTGTACACAACCAGGGCACCACACGTGTGACCCCAGATAAAACATTGACGAGAAAACCGGCAGTCTTGTTGAGGGGAACGCTATTAAACCTTCCTCACAAATATTTGAGAAAGCAGAACCCTTTTTGGATGACTTCCAGTCAGTTTGAACAAAAACAGAACATTTTGTGTAAGCAATTTCTTTATTTTTAGACCAATCCGACCTTTTTAAAGTTGTTTCTCGTTTATAAGATCTTTCTTTTAAACTGTGCTTTGACTTTTATATAGAAAGTGTATTTGCTGGCACTGCTTTAAAGAACCTTAAGTGTACTTTGACGCATAACATACTCGTGAATCGTGACCTTAGCGAAAACGTGAATAAGACAACTGTAGACCGAAGCTTATTATAAGTCGCATAATAAAAGGTACTTTGTGAATTCCCAAAGCTATGTAATGTATATTGTAGGTTTAGTAGTGGGGCCGGTTAGGCGGTTACCAGCCAGCTCTACATGTTCTTTGAGAAATATACTTCCATTTATCACGCTAAGCAGAGCAAATTGTCCGAGCTGGAATTTATTGGGTAGATGTCTGGTTAATTTCTGTTTATTTATTTCATTTAGATACGAGTATACTATACGTAACATGAAATTGTTTGTCGCTTAGTTTTATTTGACAGCGTTCCTTATTACAACTGTATTACTTACTTAGAAGTTTTAAGAGATGTATTTATGATTGAAACTTATTTTGGCTGTCCACTACTTGACTACTTTGATGGTCCTACTTAATAGTAATGATGTAACAGTTCCTGTAGCAATCAATACCCGAAATAGAATATGTGACACGTGAATCATCCTCCGCCGTTCCAATATGGTGCTAGGGAACCGTTTACGGCAAGGACTCTTCCTCCAAGTTCGTTGCTCTTTGTTTTGCATTGTACGCGACCGAGTCTGCATATTGATTAACAATTCTTATATTCTTTTCTTTCTGCAGAGTTCAGGCGATTGCAACACAGAGCATTTAGTTACATAATTGTTTTTACTTATTTCTTTAAACCAAACTGAAAAATGTCCCGTTATTTTGATCATCTATGTGCAATACCGTAAATGGTTTGCCCACACGAAATATGGCAAGCACGAACTTCATTTACTCTAAATTGCCATTGGTCACCTTAGCTCGTTAAATATTACATCACAAACGATCAAAGTGATTGACAGTTACGAGGACTGCATACAATGGAAGTGTTTAAGGCTCAAAATAGTGTATTACGTCCGGGAAAGTGGCCGACCGACGGGGAAACGATTCAATTAACTTACCGTAAATGTCTTTATCAGTCAAATTATAAAGCAACAAACAACTACAAAAACAATTGATAATGGTCCAATTGGTATCGTCGTGGTTCATTTAGCTCGCACGTTACAACTACAAAGTAGCTTGTTATTTATTACATCGGAAAGCAACGAACCGTTTTACCAAATAGATACAAAGTAATATACTCATAAATATCAGCCATGAATGTCGACCTGTGCTTTTGTTATGGTATAAAGGTTACCTAAAATGGGTGCTCCCACGGGGATCGACGTAAAAGGTCGCGTAACAATAACCTATTGAAGTAAGACAACTTTTCGCAAAAAGCTTATAACAACGCGACTATTAGGCGCCACTAACTGCTGTCAAGTTATGATCAAATTCGGTTTTAAGCTATTTGGCATAAGAGCATGCTTTAAATTAAAGTTCAAAACTAAAATACAAAAATATGTTTATCCAAGCATCCAGATAACACATAAAGTAAACAAGCAGAAAGCTCAACAGTTAACCGCTAACATTTTACGATCAGACTCCTATTACTACACGATAAACAAGTCCGTGCATCTGGAAAACAAGATGCTTCACAGAAACATACATCCGCAAACTAAAATAATGTTTTCTCTGATCAGAACCAAAAAGTATAGCTTCATCAAAAATGGACTGTAGAAATATAGACCTCTGATACTTCGCAAAGTTGGCACCATTCCAGTGTTAGTGGGAAACCAATACACTATATCAAACAAGCACTCAGTGCTTGCAAATATTTTTTTAGTAGGTAGGTACTAAGACAGTATAAACGCAGCAACATTCATTATTATAATGAATATTGCAGCAACTCTCACAGACAAAGTTCAGACAATGAGCCAGACGTACAAAAGAATAATGGTTTAACTTATGTTCGTCCTAATAAATTATCATCAAACTAAAGCTAACGGTGGGTAAGACGCAGAGTGCTTTGTAAATAACTACTATACACAGAGCACTCAAGAATATAGTTCAACAATGACAATATTTAATTAAAGAGACTGAACTGTTCATTTAACATTATAAATAAATATTAAGCTTTCTCTCTAAATAGAGAATAGTTCGAATAATATCGAACTACAGTATTTAGTAGAAAAGAAAAAATATAACAAAGTTTTAAATTGTTGTCATCTAACTACGTGACATTTAGAATATGACATTGAACCAAGTGTGGCTGCTGACGAGCTTCGTGTGTAGAACAAGGCTCAGACTCTCTGGCGTCGTCTGTGTTACCCTAGTCGCGACACCACTTCAATAGAAAATAGGCCACAGAACGGCGAGAACACTTCGCTACGGGAAATTGTGAGGAAAATGCTTGCGGAAACCCACGATGTTAACAAACGAGGATTTTTTAGCACCAATCTTCCACATCTATGAACATTATAAGATGAAATGAATACTCACTATTCGTAAATTGGTTGGCGGTTTGAAAGAGATTTTTTAAGTATGTATCAATCAAATTTTTAACAATAGCCACGTACTTAGCAAAAACTCTTGCGGATCTAAATCTAGACTAGCTGGGGGCAGAGAATGGCGTCATCACTCAATATGGTTTTGAGCCGTGTACTGAAGATAGTCAAGAGCCAAGTAAGATTGATGTGGTGATAATTTTGTTCGGATCTGAATTATTTTACTACCTGCATATAATAAAGACCGTATAAGTTAACAACAAGTTTATTGTCCAAGGAAAACAGGTCCCTTAGACTTACTCCTAATCTTAGCCTTACAAGGTCGTCGCTCTAAAAACGATCTAACGGGTTCGACGCCCGATCGCCAATGTTGAGTTTATTCATTAATGAACTTCTTGCGTACTGTAAAAATAAACAAGTGTGTACTCTGCTCTATAACTTGGTATCTGAAGATATTTCTGGATAAAAGTTAACAATTAGTGTCTTTAAAAGTAAACGAGAGCTTGTTCGTAGAAAATGTAATGTCTTGATTTGCGGCGAGCCAGAATGTTTGCGCAATAAATTGTCTTTGTAAATACTGAAACGGAATGATTTCTTATCGGACTGTAAATAAAATAGCTTATAAGTTTTAATTTCCAAATTACAATGAGAACCTCTAGATTGTCTTCTATACGAAATTCCTGAAAAGTCTTTGTTCTTGTGTCTGGCTAGGAAAACATTATGAAGCAGATGCATGCTTCCATTATGTTTATAATTATTTACCGATCCGGTTTCGTCAACAAAACACTCACTTTCGAACCGGTCTCAAAACGAGCGCCGCACGTCGCCTTGCGCCGGCTATGCAACTATTAGACATTGCAAACCTATTATACTATGTATCTCTAAACACAATCAATATTAAACAACTCCTACATGGGTATATAACACGAACTAATGTAACAAATTTGGAATGCATATCCGGAATTAAATGTGTACACTGAAAACATAAATAAATCAGTTAGTACTTACATGACATCAAAATAGAAACTTTAGTATTCAGACCAAAATCCGGTTAGCACTTCATAAGTAAAGTCACAGCGTAACTAAAACGAGCTGATCCAGTTCTTTAGAACATGCAGTGAACAGCGGAAAAACTATATAAACATTAGGTGAAGTAAGAACCACAACGCACGCGTCCAGCGCAGACGCGAGGGTGAACGTGACTGCATGGTTACAGCTGAACTAGCGATGCAACCAAAAGAGAATTAGACTGCAACTATGACACGCAGACTGGAACCAAGACATTTTTATCAATTCTCTGTTTCCAATAAATACTTAGAATGTCTTCATTTACCAAACTATGTCGAATGAGACAATGAGTTGTTATTTTCAAATGTGCTGAGGAGACTAAAATGCTACGCTACATCACATTTTTTCCTGATCAGTAGATCACAGAATTGAAATCATAAATTATGGGTTGGCAACAAATTATCTTTCAGGAGACAAATAAAAGAAATAGGCCCAAATCCGAAGCTAATTTTGTACTGACATTTGACAGGCTACGGCCGAATCAAGATTAAACGCCAGTTTATTTGTAAGCTTAGAAATTATACCGCTTGTTTTATTGATTTATAATAATATTTTTTACCATGTATTTTATGTAAAGTTTGCTACATAAACTTGTGAATCTGCACAGAGCAACTATTGGATACCATTTTCAATACGTGTGTAGTGGCTTACATCAGGAACCAATCGTGATCTTTCGCAAAGCTTGCTCTGGTTTCCTTTTCGTACCAAACCTGATCTTATCCAAGCTTTCAATGTGCTTTCATGTTCCTTAGTTACATAAAATATTTACATTATTAAAAAAATATTCTGGGGCAAACTCTTCGATTCGCGATCGACGCGTCTGATATGCACTTAAAAAATTAATTGCCTCGCAACAACTACAAGTTTTTCGATGATGTCAGGTTTCAGAATAGCTAAAGCGATTGCGATAGCAGCAGAAACTGTTTTAAAAAACAAACATGTATTTCAACAATGAATAACCATTAGAGCTTACTTTAGCTACTTGATTTGGAATCGAGTGAAGTAGACAGAAACAAAAATAAAAAATGAATAAGGATAGTGAGTAACTGACGCCAAGGAACACGTGGCTCAAGACAGGAAATTACTAAGGCGTTAGCGCAAGTAAATGGTCGCATTGTGAGTTTGTGACGAATTCGCGCCACATTGGATGCAAATGCAATACGATATTACACCACAGTAAATACAAAGGCTGATATAAATCTTATATGATCTAACTTGATGCGCAATGTAACGTGGCTGATTGTACAGACCTATATTCGCACATTACCGCAAACTTTACCCGGAGTTTACGCAATTCCGGGGAAACCAAGAATACTTCAGAACCCGGAAACGGGAGGAAAGGAAACAGAAATGTTGTGAAACTTATTACATTTAGATAGTTCTACGCCTACGCTGGAGCTATGTCTCGTAGGAAATCAAGAATGGATACCCAAATGTATATTGAGTGACATTTTCGGGGGGCGCCAGCGGTCGAATGACCCAGATCTGAGGTCTGCAGCGCAGCCTGCGTACACCGCATCGAGAGGTCAGCGCGTTGCACGCAGCACAGTCCGTGACACCAAAATAAACGCATAACCTGTACGTATATCGAAACATTGGCCCGATAACTAGGTGCTTAAAAGAGGTAAAATTGTAAATTCGATGTTTACACACGCAACATCATTTCAAACATAAAAGAATTCAATGCTACAGGAATTCTCACAGATAAAGTAATTGACTATTTCTAAGATATTACGTGAACACGTGTCACGTTTGTAGTAGGCAGCCACGCAGACAGTTGATAATTCTCACGTGGGATAAAAAATCAATTTTCAGCTATTACATGCTTTGTTACATAGTTCCCATTGTGTAGGTGAAAGTTCATAATAAAAATATTGTTCCGCGTATGAATCGTGTTACATCTAATTATATACAGCTCAAACTATAATTCCAATTGAGATTGCATCTGTTCGTTATAGCGAATATTAAAACTTTTTAGCACTGCGTCCTTAGCAATTAGTAATAAACAATAAGGTCTATAATTAAACATTTTTTACTTGCCAATCGAATCTTGTCGGAGTTAATACTTTTATTGATGCGTATTGTATAACACCTTACATTTTTCATACTGTGCTTTACTTTCAAAAGGCACATTTGAATGACAGATGAATATTCCCACAGCAGATTTTAAAAGCGAGTCATCAAATGTATCACTGGTTGCTTTCACTGCTGCAATTTGATGCGTAATCAACGCGGGTGCAGATTGTGGGGCAATTAAACCAGTGCGGATATACTAGTGTTTATGGCATACGCATGTTCCTGCCATCAAGGAAGCGCGCCAGTTGCTGAACCAGCCAACATGACGAGAATATTTATTTTTAATATCTAAAATACAGCTTTATTTTTATATTAGACAAACAGTACAACAACCCCGAAAATTTAATAAACCCCTCGTTAGGAAAGTTGTGGTTATTGATATCACATTTACCTGTGCTCAACTCGAGCTTGTTTCAAAGTTCTGATATTAATAAAGTTTGCTGAATTAAATTAGTTTTTATATACGTATATAACAAACCTGTTTAACACAATAGCAATCATTGTTGCACAACATGTTTTATTGATCGATAAACCAAAAAGAAACTTCGGCATAAAACCTCGCCTGCCGACGTTTGTCAAATATCTAAAGTTTGGTTTAGATGGCTCGACTGTGCTTGTGATAACTTGACTTAGGTTACTTCTATTTTAGATCTAGGTACTTGATAATTCAATACAAACTTTAATTAACTGAGTTTGATCAAATTAAACGGGCATATTGTGCCCGTCCCTCAAAACAAGTCGATTTATCGACAGTAGCGAAAGCGATTACCAAGTCTGCGTAGTTTTTCCCACATAAAGACAATAGAACACTTTCTATTTTTAAGTAACACATTGGCTAAAATGTTGGAAAGTCTATCTCGTTTCCTTTAGTAAGGAATAATACATGTAATCTTCGCTGCTAGGCACATTCGGAATACGGAATGTGCCTGTGTTATATTAGAATGAACTTCCAGAACAATTGGATTGTAAATGACAATTCAGAACACCAATCTTCCGTCTCTCTATCTCGACAATAACTTGCGCAATACCTTCGAGTGCGTTGACATGTCATAACGTCTAGAACCATTTCATTATAGTACCTACCTGTGGATAGAACACTAACTAAACAATAATCTTACTAAACTAGTCTTAATGGAATTTCATTAGTCTACGTCTAAATTCATGATTTTGCAAGTTTATATAAAATAACATTAAAACGTAAAATAGCTTTTACAAAATTCATCCAATATTTATGAAAGCTTGCAAATTCATTGTATTCGTCTCTTGTAAATGAACTTCCACCGGTATAACCTTGAAACACGTATATGACTAACATTAAGAGTAAACTAAACAAATTGAAGATGAATGGACTGTGTCAACATACTTTTTCACACTTCTTTATTTTGTGATTGGTTGATGATTAGCACGCACAATTATAGTGTGGTGGACAGCTAACTATGTGCGATAGTCATCTTTTTGACGCAAGTATTTAAACATACAGTAGTGATAATCTTAGTATTAGATATTTTATGTGTAGATAAAACGATGAATAGAAATATACCGAGCATGCTCCTGAAGTCGCGCTTGATAGGCTCCAAAATTGCGATTATTCGCTGCAGTGAATACCAATCGTTTTCGATACCAAAATTGTATTTCCAATCTAGTTTTCGTTTACCTAAGGGACGTCCACAATGAAATGGCGGTTCATTTAAAATGGCACATAATGTGACCCAAAATGGAGGAGATAAAGACCGCCATTAATTTACTCCTAACGGTCCACGCGTCGAGAGAAAGACAAATGTTAAACACTGTTTTAATATAGGCAGATTTATATGACGCATACGTGTGAAAATGTTCCCTCCATCGCCTGTCAACTGGACCAATTTTCCAGGAAGACTGGTATAGAAAGTGCTGGAGTGTCAAAAGACTGCTAATTATAAACGTGCAGTGGACGACGTTCCGCACATACCTGCCTCTCCAGCCGACAGACAACAAAACAACTTGGATCTATTCACGTCAGATAAACTTTCAAATCAGGCGAGCTGCAAATGAACCATCAATCTTACAGCCTCTTGAGAGCCGATAGATATCGTAGGAAGAGTGTTTTAAATCAATTGTCAAGAGTTACTATTTATACTAATCTCGGATTAGCCAATTAAGAACGGATTATGTGTTTATTCGTTTCCTGAATTAGTTTACGAGTATTGGTGTTACCGATTGATCTATGAAATATAATTTATTTGCTTCGGTAGTTGGGAGTTGTATTCGGACCATCTTCCATGGATTACTTTGTTGAATCAAATATGCATATGACAAAAAGCCAATTCAGAACATCTGTTAGTTTAAAGATTGCTCTCCTAAATAATGCATATGCCGTATGCGTTATATCCGATAGGCGTTCGACAAACTAATTTATGTATGACGTTCATCCGTCGGGATTAATCCGATTTATGCCACAGCAAAGTTATTTACGCATCTGATTTATGCGAATCCGTGCTTCTATATTCAGATACTTCGTATTGTAATAGCAAGGCTGAAAGGCTACAATTATCAAAATGTTGAGTTTATCGAAGATTAGTATTGAAATTGGTATTGCTACGTGATTGGGGTGTTGGAATACTAGGAATGTATATCATCTTATCTGTGTTTTTTATACCTACGTGTTTATGAGAGAAATAGACATAATATTATTTTCATTTAGCCAATATACTGGTTTTTATCTAATAATCATTAAGTAAATCGTAATAATTTTATGATACTAGCAAAACCAACTTCAGGAAAATAGAAAAATTGGGTGCGCATTGGCTGAACACCGAAGTTGTTCGATATATTTTATTTTAAAATCTTATGCCTACGTAGAGCAGAATTGGTGTTATTTATACATAGCATCTTTAATCACAGCTCTATATCCTGAAAATACACATATTGAATACTGAACTGAAATGTGAGACATTGTGCTTGAATCAAAACTAGAACAAATCCTAATGAGCCATATTCGAAAAATAGTTTTGTGAAATGATGATAAATTTGATTTGTCATGAAACGCTCGCTCATGGCTAGAAGACACGAATGTCTGTCGAGACAATAATATAATTGTGTATGTATAGTTAGGTATGAGTTCAGTGAAAGAATAGCGTGACATCTAATATACGTCATTTTTCATTTCAAGGTCACGAGAATACATGATATCATTCATAATCTTTCTATGCAGACTTAGCGCTGTGGTAATCTCTCCGTGAAAAAATCGTTAGCTTTACAGAAGGGAGAGTGAAACAACTTGATATAACTATATGCAGAACACTGCTTTCCTTATTCGTTTTATGGAAAGGACAGTCAAAGATAATATCAATAACGTGATTTAAACTCAAGCTCATGTAGAAAGTGCGTCCGTCGTTAAGACGCCTTTACGAGTCAGATACTTGGTAAACAAAACAATCACAGCTCACCCACGCCAGACAACGTG